AAAAAATCATTTGGAGAGAAACTATTTAACTCCCTTTTCCCCAAGCTATATGGACCTTAAATTCACTGGAGCTCCAGAAACATGTACATTTCTTTTACTTCAGAAACACAGCAGTTGAGCTCATTGAAACATTAAATCCATGTCTTATTTTTCTGGAGACCCCAGACAGTCTGCCTGGTCCCACCCTGGAAAGTAACCCAGTTTTTTTCAATAGTACATTCAGGGGAAACAGGCCCATTTGTGAAGATTGGGGCTTGGAATTAGACAAAATACGTTGTACATCCAATTGCCTGCTCTCATTACTGAGACTCTCCACACGTGTCTTTTAACAGGTACCTGGCTATAACAACCTGTGGGATCCCACATATGCAGTATGTACCCCATCAGCTGACCTTGGGCAGCCAAGGCCCTCCAGGCCTGTGGAGCTTGGGCTGGTCACCCACCACCAGGCAAGCCTCTAGGGCACCGGGAGAGAGAGAGCCCACCCCTGCAAACTTTCTGAGGTGTCAGCTCTAAAATGCCTTGACAGACAGTTCCCATTGGATTGGCTGCCTGATGGGGTCCAGGGTTTACCAGCGATCTAGACTCCTAGGTAGGTATCTTAATGAAGGATACCATGTTCAGCCCACCCCATGCTTCCAAGGCCATTCTAGCTTTGCCTTCAGTGGGAGCATGCACATTTGTATAGGTTAGGCCTTGGAATGACGCAGATGCCTTGTAACCCCAAGAGCCCTCTTGACCTGGCCTCTCTGAACACTTGCTCTGTTCCAGGTCCCTGGCTATATTAACCTGCATGGCCCACACATTCCCAGTAACCCCTTCATAAGTCTACCTCGGGCAGGTCCAGGCCTCCAAGCCTGTGGAACTCTTTCCACACCCCTATGACCAGCTTAACGTCTGGCTTGGAGGGTGAGCACCTTAGAAACATTGCTTTCAGGCAGCAGCTGTAAATGGACAACAGTCAGCCCCAAGTAAACATACTCACTGATGGGGTCCAGGCTTCTGCAGCACCCAAGGCTCCTGGTGTCTCTTATTGGAGGATATCCGAGCACCTTAGAAACATTGCTTTCAGGCAGCAGCTGTAAATGGACAACAGTCAGCCCCAAGTAAACATACTCACTGATGGGGTCCAGGCTTCTGCAGCACC